CCCCAAAACCCCAAAACCCCATAAGATCTCAATCTATATCAATCTTGAGAAAGCAAATAAAACTTATGATTAAGTGATTTATCTTCTAATATTCTTTTATTTCACTCACATTTTATTAAAAGGGTTACTTTGCCCGAAGGATGTATCCGCTACCTTTTTCATCAAATCCTAAGGAGGCGATCCTAACTCTTGTAATTAAGAGAGAAGTTCGAATACAAGATTGCTATCTTCGCTTTTGTTATCCTCGTATACTTTGCAAATCTCTTGAATCTTATCGTGCTATTTATTATACCTCTCTAGATCTTCATCTGATATTGATTGCCAATTTTCTTCAAGCCATTTGGGGAATTCATCTCTAAGTGTCTTCATTGGATCATATAATGTATCTTTCTTGATAATCTCTTATACTACAGACTCTAGGGCTGATTTCATTTCCTCATTCTAGTCTGAGTCCTTCATGAAATCCTAGAATTGATTCATCAAGTTGTCCAGAGCGCCTTCTTAAGCAGCTGGGTCTCCATTTAGCAAGTCCTTTGCCAAATTATTTAGCAAGTTCATAAACATTGGGTCATCTGCACCTAATCCTTCCATTCCTGGAATCGATTGACCCCCTCCTGTTGCATTGCCTTAGCTTGTTGGGTTTGATTGCTTATCTTCTTTTTATATGTTTTCAAAGTCCTTGAACATTTGATTACATGCAAGCAAGAAAGGATTTTCCATGTTTGGGTTCTCATCTTATACATTTCCCATTGATTTCATACACTCCTCTAATAGCTTTTATGCTTCAGCCATATCACCTTCTCCTAAGTTCAACTTACTGAAATCAATGTCACCAGCTAACCCCAAGTCATCCTGAACACTTCTTTATTAAGTCCCTGCTGATTATTTTTGAGCGTTTGCATCTGCTTTAGGCTGCACTTTCTAATCTAATTTCTTAGCAGCATCTTAGAGAAGACTGTCGAAGTCGTCATCATCGTGATCGTTGACGGGAGGCTTCTAATTCTTGTCAGACTTTTGATTACTATCCATTTAATTTTTATTAATTTATTGCTAAATCATTAATTTAATTAAAATTTTAGGCAAATAGTCTCTCTACTAATCTGTGAAGGAAACTATCCTTTTACACTTGAATTTTCTTTAGTAATTTACTTCAAATATCAAAAGGTTTAATAAGTGATATATTTTAAGATTAAATTAAGGTATGTTAATTAAGTGATAATAAATAGGAGTGTGCTCCCTTTTCAAAACTTGATGATCTTTTTGCTCTTCTTTGAAAACACCTTTTTCTTCTCCTTTTTAACAGGGTTGCTAGCTTATAGTGCTGGGGCTGCTTACTTCTTCTTTTTGCCAATGCTTAATTTGCTATCTAATTGCATAATATCGTCTATTGTATAGTTCTTCTTGGCCTTTGATTAGGCAACCTGTACCTCCTCTTCACTGTCACTTTCCATTTATTGCTCTTTATTCTGTGCATCTCTTTCTAAGTCCTCATTGGTCTTAACTACACTCTCGTATTTTGACTTAATAGCATTTTCTGAATGTATTTTCCTGAAATTATTAACGCCAGTCCAGCCTCCCTTTGCCATCTTATGTGATCTGAAGTCCATGATGTTTGGCTTAGCAATCTATGGGAATACAGCTTATGGGTTATTTGGCTCAACGAAAGCATTTGCCTTCACCGAAACTATACATATTCATTAGTATTTGCTGATTGGCGAAAGTATTATTTATTTATTGTGATTCTCAAGTGTCTTGTAATTATTTATACTTACAATCTGATCTCAAGTCATAGTATGGATTGTTAAGTCTCTGAACAATCTTTTGCTAGTCAGATTTACCCTAGATCTCTTGGAAATGCTCACGACGGGCTGTTCTTAGTCTTCTTCTAGTCTTTGCTCTTAATCCCTTTGCCATTATTTTATATGTATATTTGATAATTAATTTGTTATTTACTTGTATATACTCATATTATCAGATGGGGTTTTGGGGTTTTGGGGTTTTGGGGTTTTGGGG